CCAATTCTTCTGGACTGGGCATACGCTTCTTGCAGCCCTTTCCTGGTTTGGGAAGCCAGGGCAGGCCCTTTTAGCTCCACGGGGCAAGTCTCCACAAATGAAGGGAAAAATGCCTAACATATGAACATATAAACCATACAAGTTCTTCCTCAAAAAAAAGTATTTTGGCAATTAAAAAAAGTTATTTTCTCAAATGTATACATGTTGGACAGAAGAGCAGAGTTGGACCAAAGCCCAGTTTCCATGAACAAAACTTGGAGAAGAGATCTTGGCTACCTTTTCTTTCTTTCTTTCTTTCTTTCTTTCTTTCTTTCTTTCTTTCTTTCTTTCTTTCTTTCTTCCTTCCTTCCTTCCTTCCTTCCTTCCTTCCTTCCCTTCCCTTCCCTTCCCTTCCCTTCCCTTCCCTTTCCTTTCCTTTCCTTCCCTTTCCTTCCCTTTCCTTTCCTTCCCTTTCCTTTCCTTTCCTTTCCTTCCCTTTCCTTTTCTTTATCTCCAGTGTTCTTCTACCCCCAAAAAAAACTGCCCCTGAAGGTTTGGGAAATCTCAGGGACAACATGGGAAGTGGTTTTTGGCATTTATGCGTGAGTGGGGCTTTTTCATTAATTCATTAATTCATTCATTCGGGTTTTTATGCTGTACTCTGAGGAATGTTGTTCAACTCTTGTTTTTCAGATGATGATTAGTTTTGCAAAATCTTACTGGGTTTTTCTTATTTTGAAAAAGGGGGATGTCAGTCTACCAATAAATAAGACTTAAGTGTGTTGTGGTTTGGGTTTCTTTTATTCACAGTGTAATTTTTGTTTCACATTTTACTTGCTGGTCCAGTGAAGTGGACTTATTTTACAAACCTTTTTTTAGCTTAGGTTTGCTTTAGAGGACAACTATCCCCCTATTTAGGGAGGGGCCATGGCTCAGCAGGAGAGCCTCTGCTTGGCATGTAGAAGGCCCCAGGTTCAGTCCCCGGCATCTCCAGTTAAAAAGGACCAGGCAGTAGGTGATGTGGAAGACCTCCACCTGAGACCCTGGAGAGCTATAAAGAGGGGCTGTGGCTCAGTGGTACAGCCTCTGCTCGGCATGCAGAAAGTTCCAGGTTCAATCCCTGGCATCTCCAGCTAAAAAGGACCAGGTAGTAGGTGATGTGAAATACCTCCACCTGAGACCCTGGAGAGCTGTTGCTGGTCTGAGTAGAAAATACTGATATTGATGGACTGATGGTCTGATTCAGTATAAGGCAACTATGTTTTTCCATTAATTTTCCTGTCTCACTGAAACCACCCCTGTTCAGAAAGGATAAATATGCTTTCTTAGAATTTCACAGGTTTATCTGTTGGAATTGGGAAACAGCATCCCAAGATATATGATGTTTATAGTGACAGATGTGCTGAGGAGCAACTGAATCACCCTTTGAGCTAGGCTGTCAATTGCCCTGGCCTCTCATTGCATACAATACCCCTTTAAAATGTACTTTTGAAGTGATTGGTCGAGGGTAGCCTTGGAGCAAAAAAATGAACCTGTATCCCTGGCCCAAGAAGAGAACTCCCAAGCTAGGGAAAAGTCCATAAATATGCTAGCCTGCGATGGAGATCCGGATTCTGGTACCTAGGACAGGCTTCTGCAGCTCCATGTCATGAGACAAAGGGGAGGTCTGATCTCTAACAATCCTCAGTCTTGGACACATTCTCATAAAAGAGAATATATACACACTTTGTATATATATGAATCAATTAATCTAATGCTCCCTTTTACTATTCTGCCTTAACTGTATCTTCCTATAGACGGTTTTCAGGTACACATGCTTTCTAAAATATATAGGAGGTCAATAAGTTCTTTTAAAACCATGATCCATGGGATTCTAGTGGGATTGCTTGAAGAAAAGGCCACCCAAGTTGCTTAAGGCTGTTTGTTTCACCATCACCTGTTAGTTGGTGATGAACTTCACAGTTTCTGCAAAGAGACATGAGGGGTGTGCCCAGATCCGTTTTCAGTCTCACACAAATGCTCACATAATTCTTGATCTTGCAGGAGGGCGGGGGGGGGGATATATATGGATCACAGACAATCCCAGAGACAATTCCTCTGCTGGTGGTAGTGATTATAGCTTAAACACAAGGAAAAAGCAAGCGCTCCTCCTTTCTGGTATCTGGGATAGACTTCTGCAGGTCCTGTCATGTAAGTTTAAACACACAGCCCCTTGGCTTTTGGCCAACACAGTGCACAGTGCAAAGATCTTGGAGAGAGAGCAAAGCAGGCAGCTGAGGAAAGCTGAGAGTCTGGAGGGTCTGTGACACTCCTCCCACACACATAGACACTGCATTCCACATTGATCCTTAGGATCCTCCCCACATTAGCAATAGTTCTGTGGGGCACAGGGAGCTGGAAAAAGATGCAGAAGCAGAAGGTGGCTTACATCCCCACTATAATCTTCACTCCACTGGCTTATAACACTGCTTAAAAAAACTGTATTACTTCAGCATCATTCTATTGCATAGATTGGGTAAAGACCAGAGGAAAAAACCACAACAGTCACAGCAGAATTGGAACTATTTGCCTCTTCTCCTGCTACTTCCCCGTTTCCCTTGCTGGTTGGTCTTGCTCAGCAATACCATTTGTTAGGGACCAGCAAAACTGCTGAACATAGTCCGCTCAGACAGTAGCTGCTATTTGCCTCTTCTCCTGCTACTTCCCCCTGTTTTCCTTGCTGGTTGGTCTAGCTCAGCAATACCATTTGTTAGGGGGCAGCAAAACTGCTGAACATAGTCTGCTCAGGCAGTAGCAGGTGCTCCCCTAGACTGGTGGTCCTAGAACAGATAATTGACAGCATTTGACTGCTGAAAAGCCATGGATTTTAGGACTAGATAGCTGACAGCTTATGAGATTTCATATTTGATTTATGTCCATTTCTGACAGCTAGTGAATAAAAGCATACTAATAAAGCCATAGTCATTTGAATTTCAAATTTTCAGATAAAGTTTCACTTACCATCTAAGTTCAAAATTAAAATATTTGTTGAGAAATGGACTAATTTATGGTTTTATATCTGCTTACACACGCAACACATGGACTGTGCACACATCTGTATACCATGGGCCAAAGGAAGCTGTTTGCATCACCTACTGTGAGAGCCTTCACATAGGGAACACTTGCCTGCATTTTACGTTAATGTAGCTTGCACACATTCAGCTCAAAGGCTCATGGGAAGAAGAAGCACATGTTAGCCATTGTGAGCAGAGACAACAACCAAGAAGGAGAAATCCCCCCATTACTGAAGAGTAAAGTAAAGAGTAAAGATTTGGAAAACCTTTAGGAATTGTCCATTTACCACGGGGCACCCATCCAGAGCCTCTGGCATTTTCTCACTCTGCTGGCATTAAAACCAATTTAAGGCAAAATAGAGATATGGAGACTTTCCCATCCTCCTTTGCATCAATTTGGCTTTGTTGGCAACCCTAAGCCTGCCAGCACTCTCAGGGTGACTTCATGCCTCCTGACTGCCATTACTTCACTAGCCCTGGCTGCTTGCTCCTGTTAAGCAGTAGCCTCCCTATGGAAGCTGCCTGGGTAATTTTGGACCAGCCACAGACTTTCTGCCTAACCTACCTTGCAGGGTTGCTATACAGATCACAAAGTGGAAGTGGAGAATGAAGTAAGCTGCTTTGCTCCCCACTAATGAGAAAGACAGAACTTTGACTAGGAAGAGGCTGCTGAAAGGGAAGGAGATAAAGTTGCTAACTTTAGATATGAAAATTCCTGGAGATTTGAGGGGTGGAGCTTGGACAGGGTGAGGTTTGAGGAGGGGTGGGACCTCAGACAGGTACAGTGCCATAGACTCCACCCTCCAAACCAGCCATTTCCGCCTGGGGAACCATTGTTGCAAATCTCCAGGAGAGGGCTGGAGATTACTTAGATATACAACTGCTATCCAGGGGGGAGGAGATGGAAAGCTGAAATCAGAAGGGGAGATAAAGGTAGGTTGATGGTTTTCTGGGAAGGAGATAGGGTTGCCAACTTTAAGGATGGAAATTCCTGGAGATTTGAGGGGTGAAGCCTGGAGAGGGTGGGGTTTGAGGAGGGGTGGGACCTCAGACAGGTACAATGCCATAGACTCCACCCTCCAAACCAGCCATTTCCTTCTGGGGAACCACTGTTAACAAACTCCAGGGAAGGACTGGAGATCGCTCAGAATTACAACTGCTCTTCAGATGACAGAGATCAGTGCCCCTGAAGAAAATGGTAAGCTCTGTGTCATTATACCCTGCTGAGGTCACCACAGCAAATTGACGCTGAGTGCCAAAGACCAGGGCACCCACCCAGAGCCTCTTTCTAGAGCTCGTTGTATGTATTTCCACAACAGGCCTTATTCCTAGTGAACAAATAATACACACACGTTTTATTGAAAAATATGGACAATTTCTTTTTATTAACATTAAGTTAGACTGTGTGAAAGAGCTGCATGTGGTTCCCGAGCTGCAGTTTGGCCACCCCTGTCCTTACATCAAACTGACATCTACTTTCATGTAATTAGAACCCAAATAGATCTAGTCTCGCCCTCTAGAGAAGCAGAAAACAAGACCTTTCCCTTTTCTACTTCCCCTACATGGAGGGTACTTTTTGTTACATCCTTGTCTTTGAGTAAGGACAGGCTGCTATGGGAATCAGTGGGATAAACAGATTATATAACAGAATATTTATCATCAATCTACACTTATAATCCAAATGTGAACTGGTACAGTAAATATACTGTATTGACTTCTGTGTGCTAGTACCCAATGAGAAGAACTGTATTACTGTAATCAATTTCTGCTGGGTGTCCAATAGCACTAGTAAAATAAAAGTATTGATAACCATGTTTTCTTAAGATCAGGTTTTTGATGGAGCCATTGTACAGTATAATGGAATTTTTAGACAAATGTCTTTGGTCACAAAGCACTGAAATGTTAGAAGGGCAAATATGAGGTATAAAAGAGTGAGAGAAACAGTATTAGGTCAGTACAGAGACAAAGATGGCCAAGTTGATCCTTCTTACCGGTAAGTGCTAATTTGACACTCATAATAATAGCTATATTTCCTCAGTTAAAACCATTCTGGAAGATGGAATATTCTTATAAATACTTTGATTTTTTTTTTAAAGACAGTGGTGTGCTTTTAACTGCGTAGATAACAAACCAAACACAAAAGCATAAAATCTGGACCACATAGACATTATTGTAAGTTTGCCAGGATTTCACTTGAAGCAACTTTTAAAAAATCCTTCCTGTTCTTTGGAAAAATTTGCGTTCACGTGTATCTTTACAATACTAACTACTTTTGTCACCATGTAAATGTCAAATAAATTTGTGAATCCTAGCAATGAAGTCCATAGAACAATTCTTCAAGCAGTGTGACAGTAGAATATATACAATGAACAAAGCAATGAAAAACAAAATTTCATGAGCATGGACTGTGACCCTATTTTTATTTAAAATTATCCTTAAAACAACCCTATATGGTAGATCACTGTTATTATCCCCATCTTGCAGATGGTGTATAACTGAGACAAACTGTGGCATGCTTATGGCTACCCAGTACATTTTTGACAGACATTTGTATGGCAATATAAAAGACATATGGCTCATTCATTCATATCTGGTGGCAGTGCCTGTTTATAAATGTATTTTTGGAATAAGATGTTTAAGTTTGTGAGAGAAATTATGCATACAGAAATACAAAAATATCCCAGTATAGCTCTTTTGAATATTACGCCCAGTGGGATTTCCATTAACAAGATGTGGTTAATAAGAAATTTATTCACCACAGCCAGAATGTTACTAGCTGCGGCATGGAGACAGGAAAAAGCACCAGATAGTGAAAAATGGCTAAGGAAAGTATGGTACAGCTAAGCAAAATGAAAGAACATGGAAGAAAGGCTACAGCTAGATAACTTACAATCTTTGAATATCTGGTCCAGCCTCCAAGGAAGTCTGTCTGCTGGTTTCATAGTGCACCACCACCACCCCGTGCCGCACCTGCAAGCCACATCCACCTTTAGTTCTCACATTAAACCCTCCTTTAAAGGAACTCATTTTCTCTTCCCACACACTGAGACCAGTTCTCATGATCCTAAGTATAATATTCCTTTTATACATTTGTATCCTGCCATAGAGCTCACAACAATCAGTCATCTGATTGCTTCATAATGAGAACAGATTGCTGTCACGTCTACAATACCTTATTGCCTATATGCAAAAATCACTAAACTATACAATATAGGGGTTTTTTTTCCCTTTTGGTGTATCTGCAGCTGCATACCATTTTAAAAATCAATGGGAGCCTGAATCAGCTTGGAACTGCAGCATGGGAGGGAAGAAAGGGTCCTGCCTCTCCCTCCACCACTATTTTCCAAAGCTGGAATGGCCTAGTCAGGCAGTTATTTACGTAACGATTTCTGATCAGGGAAAATGATGCAGAGGGAAAGGCCAAAATAGGCATGGAAAGGCCTTTTACTGACAGAACCAAGCTTGGTTGCCTAGCAACAGGCACTGAGGGGAAAGTAGGGTTGCCAGCTATGAGTAGGGAAATACCTGGAGGGCGGATCCTGTGGAGGGCGGCATTTGGGGGGGAAGGACTCAGCAGGGTATAATGCCATAGGGGAACTGATCTCTGCCTGGCAGACCCTGCTCTGAGGTCCTAACTGCTACGCCTAGGGTAGCCAACCTCCAGATGGAGCCTGAAGATCGCCGGGTATCACAACTGAACTCTAGACTACAGATCTCCCACACACACACACACCCCGGAGAAAATAACTGCTTTGGATGGTGGGCTCTACGGCATTCTGTTCAGCTGAGGCCTCTCCCCTCCTCAAACTCTGGCTTCCTTAGTCACAGGATATCCAGGAATTTCCCAACCTGGAACTGGCAACCCTAGTCAGGACAGACCCCAATGAGTTCCTCACGAAGGAATGGAAATGGTTTCCTTCTACCAGTCCCACAGAGGAACCAAGCAGGAGAAGTGTCTTCATCAGGAGAGACAGCTGTTTGTCAGTAATTCTGACAGGGAACAGTGGCTGGGGTGGGAGTGGGTGGGGAAGAGAAGCAGACCCAGCACCCGGCCAATGGCACGCAAGTACTCTTGAGTGGCAGCTGACGGGCCAATGGCTGATGGAGTACATTGCACAGCCAATGGGAGAGCTGGAAAGTGCCACCCCACTACTCAATTATATATAAGGAGAGGTACTCATTAAAATGTTCTCTGAACTATGCAAGAGTGTACCAAAATTATGAAAACAGGATTTGTTAGCTGTGTTCTAAAGTCAAAAGTAAGCTTTACAGAGAAACTATATTTTAAGTTGTTATACACATATGTTCAGATCTCAATTTACTTAAATTTTTCTTTGTAGGTCTGGTGCGCCTGCTGAATGCACAAATATTTTCTTGTTCACACACATGCATAACACACAGTCTGGACCATCTTTTAGAAAATGAGAAAATGAGAAAAAAATATTGGAATATAATAGTAATTGCCATGTTTGTGGTAATAGAAAACACATAAAGGATATATTGGTAACTGCTGCTAATGTTATTCAAGATGCTACTTATATCTGATAAAACACAAAGACCGATTCCCCACAAACAGCTGTGCCGCCCTCGCTCTTCTGTTTCCCCTGCTTGCATTGGTCAATTTCACACTATTTGCTGCGTGGCCACATTTTGACCTGCAACTCCACCCAATTTTCCCCGTGTCTTCTCAGTCTCAAAAAACCAGGATCAAGAGGACACGGGGAAAATCAGGGGGAGCTGCGGGTCAAAATGTGGCCATGCAGTGAATAGTGTGAAGTTGACCGATGCAAGCGGGGGAAACAGAAGAGCGAGAGTGGCTCAGCTGCTTGTGGGGAATCGGTCAAAGACTTTAAATAACTTCCCAACAATATGGGAATTCAGCAACTGGAAATGGTTAAATTGGTTTAACTTTATACTTGGCAGCATTTTTGTAAAATGAAGTATTAGTGTCTTTGTGTATGGAAATAACCACCATCTGCTGCTGCACCTTCTTCAAACTCAGCAGGCACTCCTAAAAGGCACTGGAGCATATAAATAATGATGTCCTTAAGCAGTCATTTTCTCTTGGTCTTCACATCTTTTTTTTTTTCTGTGCTTGCTTGTGCCATATATATGTTCTTTCCAGGGGTCTCAATAATATCTTCCACAGATCCGATATAATCTCACTGAATCAGGGTTCTTTGGCAGGGTTCCCATTGTCCCTCCCAAACATCAGAAGCATCACTTCACCTTATCTGTCTACCATGACACACAAAAATCTGAATATTTATTCTTCTACTCCAATGTCATTTCAAGCTGCACGTTAATCTTTCCCACTCTTTTTGGTAGGTTCTGCCTATGTGCTTTCATGCTACTTTACCAACTGGGGCCAATACAGACCAGGCCTTGGGAAATTCAAACCTGACAACATTGACCCTTGCCTGTGTACTCACCTGATCTATGCCTTTGCTGGGATGACAAACAATGAGATCGCCACCATTGAATGGAATGATGTCACTCTTTACAAATCTTTCAATGGCTTAAAAAAACAGTAAGTACCCTTGAATAATGGTTGCCCCTTCCCACATTTTGTTTTTTTTAATGTGCTGTAAGTTACGTAGCATATTGTCTTTAGCTAAAACCATGCCAAGCCAAGTACATGGAGTGATCTTCTTCCTTAGGTCAAATTACAAGACCAGTTCTCATGATCCTAAGTATAATATTCCTTTTATACATTTGTATCCTGCCATAGAGCTCACAACAATCAGTCATCTGATTGCTTCATAATGAGAACAGATTGCTGTCACGTCTACAATACCTTATTGCCTATATGCAAAAATCACTTATGTCTAAACTATACAATATAGGGTTTTTTTCCCCTACCTTATTGCCTATATGCAAAAATCACTAAACTATACAATATAGGGGTTTTTTTTCCCTTTTGGTGTATCTGCAGCTGCATACCATTTTAAAAATCAATGGGAGCCTGAATCAGCTTGGAACTGCAGCATGGGAGGGAAGAAAGGGTCCTGCCTCTCCCTCCACCACTATTTTCCAAAGCTGGAATGGCCTAGTCAGGCAGTTATTTACGTAACGATTTCTGATCAGGGAAAATGATGCAGAGGGAAAGGCAGGAGCCCCTCACCCCATGCTGCAGTTCCAATGAAATCAGGCTTCCAACAGTTTTTACAATGACATTCCCTGCAGCTGCTGTCTAGCTGCACAGTCAGGTCTGAGACACCTGGCCCTGCTTTGCCAAAACACATATCATGTTCTTTGGCCCTAAGAGAGCAATCCTAAGCATGTCATGTTACAGTCGACTTACGACAACCCCATAGAGTTTTCAAAGCAAGAGACATTCAGAGGTGGTCTGCCATTGCCTGCTTCTGGCAGTGACCCTGGTATTGTTTGGTGGTCTCCCATCCAAATATTAACCAGGGCCAAATGTGCTTAGCTTCTGAGATCTGATGAAATCAGACTAGTTTGGGCTACCCAGTTCAGAATATCCAAAGGGTCTTAGTCCCAGGAAAATATTTTTTAGGATTGCACTATCAATGTATCATACAGTCACTGTTGATCCAACTTGTGAAAAAGATCATACAACTATGTCACCCCAGGATTAAACTAGCACAGTAATTCACACTGTAACACCACGAGTGCCCTTGTGGATTGTGTCTCTATGCTTTATACGCCATCAATCTCCATGCACTTTTGTACTGATCAAGGGTCAAAAGTTTGGGTTTCCAGCTTTGGCAACTTGAGGCTCAAACATGTCCCATTGACCTTCTGATGGAGACACACCAAGTTGCAGCAGACAGGACGGGTGCCGGCCAGATCTGGGCCCTCTCAGAGTCCTTGTAGGAGACTCCCAGCCTGGGGTGCAGAGGAGACCCACTCCCAAGGTGATGGCCGAGGAATTGAGGCTCTCCCTACTCAGAGCGATCCTGCCGTTGCGAAGCCATTATGGCAAAAAGAGCTGGCTGCCGGATGAGCGGACAAACGATCTAGCGCAATTTCCCTCCTACAATTATTTAAATGCAAAAAACCAACGAGCTAAGCGATCCCCTATATAAGCAGTCACGTTTTTAAGTCCACTGGATCTAACTTGAGAAACAAGCAGCGGGTGGGGGAAGAGTTGGGGAATCACCCCCACCGAAACCGAACGGTCCCTGAATGAGAAAGAAAAGGAAAGAAGCGAAACTAACTGTATGAGACTGTAACTGAGACCAAAAGGTGCAAAATAATCCAACGCGTATTTAAATTGGAAAACTTTGACTTTGAAGGTGGTGATTTTTAAAAGATGGACAGCAAGATAGCACTGACATGTAGCTATTCCTTGTCATTCCTTGGACCAGAAATAGACAAGAATATTCATCTCTAATCTTTTCCATCCTAGGAATGGAGAACTGAAGACTCTCTTGGCAATTGGAGGCTGGAACTTTGGAACAGCACCGTAAGTTTTAAGTTTGAAGCATTCTCCTAGTATTCCATCCTGTTTTTACAGAGGAGAATGTTTATAACCAGCAAATAATTCTCTTAATGCTACCTTTTATGATCTATTTCCAGATTCACTGCAATGGTTGCCACTCCTGAAACCCGCCAAACCTTCATCAACTCTGTCATCACGTTCTTGCGCCAGTATGACTTTGATGGGCTGGACTTTGACTGGGAGTACCCTGGATCTAGAGGCAGCACTCCTCAAGATAAGGCACTATTCACAGTCCTGGTTAAGGTAAGCCACTGGCCATGTTGCTCTTATTTTCTTTCATCCCAGGGTATGCAAGGCTGACTGGGCATACTAGTGCCAGTCTCCTCTGGCCTTTTCCCTCTCAGAGCTTTTCTGCATGGTTTTTTTCTTCAGTTATGGTTCCATACTGCTTTGGTTTATTCCCTGATTTTTGCTTCTTTAGTTTTCACTTTGCTTTTGTTTTTCTGGAAGCCAATTTTGAGTTGCCTTTGTCCTTATGAGTAACTAGGAATAAGGCCCGTTGTGGAAATAAATATGAGCTCTAGAAAGAGGCTCTGGGTGGGTGCCCCAGCCTTGGGCACTCAGTGTCAATTTGCTGTGGTAACTTCAGCAGGGTATAATGACACTACCATTTTCTCCAGAGGAACTTATCTCTGCTACCTCCTGAAACCTCACCCTCTCCAGGCTCCATCCCTCAAATCTCCAGGAATTTTCCAACCTGGAGTTGACAACCCTATCTTCCATACTCTAACAGAAAATCTCCAGGAATCTCCCTATATGGAGCTGGCAACCCTATCCAGACTGGCCCCAATGAGTTCCTCACAACAGCCTGTGAAGGGCACAGGAGGAGAGGCAGGGGCGGCCGCCGGCGCGCCTGGCCAGCAGCTGGGAGGAGCACTGGGGCTGAAAGGAGCTCTGCCGGCAGCGTGGGCAGTGCTGTGGCAGAGGAGCAAGTGAGAGGGCAGAGGTGGAGGCAGGAGCGGCCGCCGGCACGCCTGACTAGCGTGGGCACAGGGCAGGGCGCAGCGCTTTCCTCCCCCTGCTGCCGCCGCCTTTCTCAACCTTGCCGAGGCCACCGGGGGTGGGGGGTGGGGGGGCTGGGCACGCGGCGGGTCTCTCCCCCTCCCTGGTGGGCCTCTGCAGAGGAGTTCTTCACTTCCTCTACCACCCCCCATCAAGAGGATGTGCCTTGGGAGGTGGGGGGGAGCCCAGCTCGGCTCTCTTCCCCACCCTGGCGGAGCTCCGAGGCTGCTGCGGCTCCTGCTGCTGGCCTGCTTCCTTCCCGCTCGTCCCCCAGGCTGCTCCCCCTTCGCCTTCCTCAGGCAGGCAGGCAGGTGGGTGGGCTGACTGAGCCGCTCGCTCGCTACCTCGCTTGCCTCCTTCCCTCCCTCCTGGCGTGCCTGGCCAGCGTGTGCAGGGGGCAGCATTCCCCCCCCCCCCCAGTGTGGGGGACAGAGAGACCATGCCGCCCGCCCACCATGGTCGCCGTTCTGGGGCGGGGGGGCGGGCAAGCAGCGGGTCTCTTCCCCTCCCCGGCTCCCCGACAGGCCTCTGTGCTGTGATGATACTTTTAAAAACATTTGGATGTTTCTCAACAGCATGGGTATGTTATTGATATAACTTTGTTTTG